TCTGAACCTTCATTTTCGTTCCTGTCTGTGTCGGCAGTCTCATCTACATCAAGCTCGTCTTCATCATCACTACTATCAGATAGGTCACTACTTTTTTGATGCCAGCTATAAAAAAAACTTCAATTAAAAAAAAGCTTTCAAGCAAAAATAAAACATAACCCTAATCTGTCATGTAAGGTACAATAAATATCTATGTTAAATGCATAAAGAATTAGGTCTGGAAGAGGCATGATGACTTAAACAGATAAAAATTAATAGATTGATTGATTAACATGAAAGTTTAGTGATACAAATGAGTTTACCTTTCGTCAGAATCAATTTCATCTAAAATAACACGAATCCTGGCCTCTTCAGCGGCCATTTTCAACTTCAGTTGGACGGTGAAAAGGTGTTTTACATATATATATATATATATATATATATATATATATATATATATATATATATATATATATATATATATATATATATATATATATAATATATATGTACCTAAAACTAACTTTTATATTATATTAGTTTATATATTATACCTACACATGCACACATATATACACATACACACACACATACACACACATATACACATATACATACATATACACGTATATATTGGTCCCGTTGCACCTACCTCCCTCAAAAGAGGGGGAGGGTAAAATACTATTGTAATTGACGATATCCAGATAAAATCTGTTTATCTACATGCAACACGAACTCGTCAGCCTCAGATAAAAAATAGAAAGAATGCAGTTAAAAACATGTAACGGCCCATCGAATTGGACATAGTTTAAATGATTATTGAAGAAAACAAGTGCAAGACTTGACAGATCAATGTGAAACTTATGGACATAGTACATTTGCATATTGTCAACGATAAAATGCATTTAAGTCAAAAAACTTAAAAATGGACATAGAACACTCCAATTCTCAGCGGACGATATATATATATATATATATATATATATATATATATATATATATATATATATATATATATATTTATATTTATATTTATATATATATTCATATATATATTTATATATATATTCATATATATATTTATATATATATATATATTTATTTATATATATATATATATATATATATATATATATATATATATATATATATATATATATATATATATATATATATATATATATATATATATATATATAATATATATATATATATATATATAATATATATATATATATATATAACTTGTGTGTTTATTTAAATTTTGTTTCCTATAAATATTTGAGAACATTGACGCATTGGCAAGATTTTTATTTTTAAATTGTTTATGGTTTGAACTCTATTTATGCTTGGTTTGCAATTTTAAGGTAAATTTGCAGTCAAGTTTTTTGAAGTTATTTTTTTGTTTTTTATGGTTTTTTATGGTTTTTATAATATGAACTATTCAATCAAAACACTACCAAATGTTAGTGGTGATCAAAACACTACCAAATGTTTTTGCTTATAATTTTTATAATTTATATAATTTTCAAAATCTTTTTACTACCCGTAATAATGAATCTAAATAACACTATTTTGGAGTCTTTAATTCCGCTCATCGGCATTAACATAAATTTAGTTAAAATCTTTTAAAAAAGTTCCTCAATTTACTACTGATCCTAGTTCTAATCAGTTTTGATGTATGTTAACTATATATAGTTGTCAAAACACAATATTTCTATCAATTTTCACAAAAAATACTGGAATTCCGACCAAGAAAGGGCTTATAATTATGGAAAATTGCCAATAAACGATTAGAACAGATCATTTTGTTAAACTATAATGTTCATTTCACCTAAAAAATGTATTAATATAAAATCTTATTTAAATTTGGATGAGCGATAGTGATTTTAAGATGATTTAAAAAAAAAAAAAAAAAGATTCCACTGTCTGGGTTTTTTGCTACAAACATTTATATTTTATGATACCGCAAAATTTATTATTTTAATTTTTTTTCGTCTTTTCATAATTTACAGACCAGACCATTTAACGGAAATATGTCATTGTCAACAAAATATCATACAGACGCTATAATACTTTGAAAGTGCCTTAACTATACCAAGTATTAATTGCAAACTTATCCAATGTTGATGGGGATCCTTGTATGGTGGATTAAACCAAATTATATTCTGTTTTCTTTTTCTAATTGGGGTTGCCTTATTTTTAAGATTGTAATTTAGTTGGAAGTTTTGAACCTTTTTGTTTATGTCCTTCCTATATTCTAATTACAATAACATCAATCTATAACATCTATAACATCATTCTTTATATAACTAATAACTTTTGTAACAATAACATCAATCTATAACATCTATAACATCAATCTTTATATAACTAATAACTTTTGTAACTCCTTGCATTTTTTTTTTAAAGTTGTAAACTTGCTAAATTTTGTCAAAACTTATTTTTTATTATTGTATTCACTTATATATCACTAGCATAGTTAATATATGTGAAATGCCTTATAATCACTATGATTCATACATAACATTTATCTTTAAGATGTAGTCAAAACAATTTGTTTTTTTGACTAGTGTATATGCATTTTTTATAAACGTTTGACTAGTGTATATTAATACATTAGTTTTTTTCATTCTCATTAAATATTTTTTATCTTTAAAAAAAAATCTTTACCAATATTATTTACGAAAATCGACGTTGATGTTATAAGAGGATATTTTTTTAATAATAAAGTGAAATTATTATTAAAGCTGTTTTATCATTTGTTTTATCATTGATTATCATTGAATTATATAACTTAAAGTACAATCTGATTTTTAGAAGTCTAGTTAATAGATTATTACTCTTAAAAGACTTGCCAGAAAGAGTATATTATATATATATATATATATATATATATATATATATATATATATATATATATATATATATATATATATATATATATATATATATATATTATATATATATAATATATATATATTATATATAAAAAAATATATTATATATATATATATATATATATATATATATAATATATATATATATATATAAATAAATATTCTTTATATTTATAATATATAAATAAATATTCCAATAAATATTCTTTATATTTATATTAAAAAGTCACCCATTTAAGCATATCTCCACAAAAAAGCGCAAGAAGCAATAAAATAAAATTATATTATATATATATATATATATATATATATATAATTATATATATATGTACTGTACTATTTGTATTTATTGTTACTTTTTTTGTTTAAACTTTTTAACAATTTTTTTTTTATATAAGTTTTAATCCTTGTTTTTTTGTTTGTCTGTTTAGTTGATTATTTTAATATTCTTATTTAGATTAAGTTTTGAAATGTTTTATAATTTTTCTTTCCATTAATATGTCTTAATAAAATAATAATTAATTATACTAGATATACTCACGTAGAAGGAGAATGTCCTTTCATTGATTTTGAAGAGCTACTCAATCGAATAGAAGATTTGGTACAGTTTTTTTTAGTGGTTTCATTTTTTTTTTTTTTTTTTAAATTTGTTTATTGTGATTTTAGTTATATTTATCATTTTCTTAAATATTATTTAAATTATGTTTTTATGTCTAAAGTGTTATGCTGAATCGGGTTATGTTGAAAACACTTCAACATGAGTTTTTTATTTGCTATATATTTTATGAATGTCAGTTAGTTATAACTAAATAATTTTCTAAAACATTTGTTTCTTTTAATTTAAAATTTAATTATTTAATAAAAGTGGTTATTGAAATGGTTATATAAAATATATAACAATAAGATGTCATTTCCTTAATTAATCTGCAAGGCAGAATTTTGTCGTACGCGTGTCTTTTTTGCATGATTTTTTTGCTAAATTAATTGAACATAAATTTAAATGAAATTGTTTCATGCTATATACAAATATATTCTGCTGTTTCATAAATTTGTACTACTTTTACAGAGCTTTTACAAAGTGATCCCTAGTATCAAACATGATATATCCCTAGTATCAAACATTTTTAGCTTTCTAGTATAAAATTTAGATATGTTACATTTGTAACTGTTGATGTATTAGTATAACAATACATATTACAAGCAACAAAAGCCTAAAGATGATCAGAAATCAATCAATTTTCCTAATCCTGTATTCATTATTTATCAATTTTTTAATAATTTTTTTTTTTATTAGGTTTAAAATAATAACAACTGCAACAATGTTAAAGCTTTGGTGCACTTTTGGAATCATTTTTTTTATTTTATTAAAAGTAATTGAAAGTTAGAAAAATGATTTGTTTAAAGAAATATGCCTGAGGAATTTATCAAATTTATGCTTTTATTAGAAATCTTTTATTGATTTTTTAAACTTAAACAAGTATTAAGATCAATATTTTATTAAATTTGTTGAAAATTTATTCATTTGGTATTTTTTTATTTATTTGGTATTGTGAAATCTTGTTAAAGATTTATTTAAAAATTTATTGTAAGTTTAAAAAGGTATGAAGTAATTAGTTATATTATTATATTTTTGTTAGGTTTGTGATGTTGTTGATAGATTTTTAAAGTCAAAAGAAGGTGCATTGCTATCAGAATTAAATCCAGTATGTTTTTTGAAAATTTTTTTTTGCTAACTTTTCTGTATAATTGCAATTGTATTATAAATGTAAATTTTCGTGTAAATATTTTAAATATAAAATATTCTATACAATAATATATTTTTTATATTTACATATTTTGTTCTTTTTTAGGATTTTAAAGCTCCAAAGCGTCCATTCAGGTCAGAAAATTGTTTTACAATATTAAATCAGAAATAGTTTTTGTATATATATGTATATATATATAATTTTTTTTTAAATGTTATTTAGGCGTATGAAATATAGTGAGGCCATAGAATGGCTAAGAGCAGATGGCTACAAAAAAGATGATGGCACTTTTTATGAATTTGGAGAGGTTTATCTTTTTAAAGCATTGTTTTTGCATAAATAAATTTTGAAGTGAATTTTTATCAAAGTGTTTTTAAAGGAGGATATTGAAAAATAAGAAACTTATTTATTTTTTGAAAAACCTCACTGATGTTCATCAATCCAATGTTTGTTTAATCATCAATAAAGCTGTGTTTTACCCAATTGTAAAACATACTGTTTACTGTACTACATGCTGTAAAACATACTGTTTACTTAAAATGTACTGTTTTAGCGTACTGTAAAACGGTACATACTGTAAAACGTAAGTAACGTACTGTACTGTAAAATGTAAGTAAAACGTACTGTTTTACTGTACTAATATGAAATGAATAACATGAAATTACAACATACTGTGTACTGCACTAATATGAAGTATATAACTTTATCACATAGGATAAACCACCCAGTGGTCAACTTTTTTTTTTACCTAGTCTTTTATAAATAATGATTTCTCAATTGCTATGTCACAAATAATTTATCTTAAAGTTTTATAGTATAAAGGGATAGTTGCTATACACAATACACTTAGATTGTTGCATCAATACACTTGGTTGAATGGTGTCTGAAAATAAATAAAGTACTTATAGTCCCCAAAATGTTGAACACAGGACAACATCTTATGATTGACATTTTTGTTCTCCATTAATTGACACTTATAAAATTTTAAAAATTAAGTACTTCTTTAAACACAGGTACTTAAGTAATACATAGCAAAACAAAAAATATGCTTTTTAAAGTTTACAACATAAGCTAAAAAAAGCACTTTGAAGAAAATATTTAAAAGTTTTTTTTTTTTTTTATTGCGTAAGATAAAAACTTACAATATAAACTAAAATAGGAAACATTATTTTTATGCTTTGTTTTTGTGGTTTTCTTAGCATCACAGCTGAACTTTTTTTTAACACCAGCCATAGTGTTTTTCTTTTCTACAGTTTTCTACAATCATCTTTGTTTGCAATTTCTTTGGCAGCAATAGTTTCTTTTTTTGTTGGATATCCCCTAACATGAAAATTATTTAAGGTGTTGTCAAGACAGATTTTCCATGGAATTCTCAAGCAACTGTCCAAACTTTGGAAACAGTGAATTTAGAATCGAAAAAAAACCATCTATAATGTAAGGCTTTGCTTATAGATGTTTGTTTAGAAAGCAATGATGGGTGTAAGGAAGTTTATTTGATCGCGCCTAAAGAAAAAAAGCAAATTGAAAATGCAAGAAAACAATATTAAAATCGAGTGTTATGAAAAACATTTACAAAATACGTGCAACTTAATATAGGCAATGTTATTTCAATAGAATTTAAAGGAAATATACATATTATCTTTAACATGGTTTCATTCCTCTACATGTCTTTTTCCCTTTTACAAGGTTAGTTGATTGTCTGCATTTCTTCTTTTCTCATTTATAATCTGCATTATTTATTTGTAAATAGTTAAATCATTTTTTTTTAGTCAGTAAACGCAATAATTCTAGACTCTACCTCCCTCCCTCCCCTTTGTCAATAACTTGTCAAATTTCTAAAGATTTATATGTATGGCTATAGATTTTTTTCCTAAAATTGTGCTGCTGCAATTGCGAATTGAAACCATTGCTTCCATATATATCAGCAAAACAATTCTCCAGAAAACAGACGTCTGTTTATTACTGCTAGGAACCATTGTAAAAAGGTTTTGTCAATGCCCGCTATTCTCAGGTCGTGAAATCTCGTATCTCAAAAATTAGGCTCTCGTGACTTATGGAGAATCTTAGTATCAATAGTAGGGCATGTCTGTAATTCCACCTCTTTTGTACAGTTCAAACTTTGTCAGCTCACCTAAAGACAAAGCTGAATTGTTTGCTAAGAAGTTTTCGTCAATATTGTCTCTTGATTCCACTATTTGCATTCTACCTAATATAGCTGTCAAACAGGTTGATCCATTGCTTGACATCCGTATCACTCCAGCTTCTGTATCTAAAGTCATTTCCTGCTTAGACTCTTGTCAGCTTGTGGCCTAGACAACATACCTGTTATAGTCTTGCAGAAGTGTTCTCCCGAGCTGTTGTCTATCCTTTCAAAACTATTCAACAAGTGCTTATCAAAGTCTTGTTTTCCAGCCTGCTGGAAAGCAAGATTCGTCTAACTACCGTCCCATTAATCTTCCTATCATAAGCAAGGTTTTTGAATCTTTAATTAACAAACACTTGATCTCTCATCTTGAATCTAATAACTTACTTTCTGATCATCAATATGGAATTCAATCTCGTTTTATAGCTGATTCTTGTTTTATAGCTGAACAGTAATAGCTGATAGTTTTATCGTGCATTAGAAAAAGGTGCAGAGGTTAAGGCCATTGCTCTTGACATTTCTAAAGCGTTTGATAAAGTTTGGCATGGTGGTCTTCTCCATAAGCTATCTTCTTACAGTGTATCTGGAAACATCTTTAAGATTATTGATTCCTTTCTTTCCAATCGTAGTATAGAAGTTGTCCTCGATGGACAGCACTCTTCTTCTTATTCTGTAACCTCAGGGGTTCCTTAAGGTTTAATCCTTTGCCCTTTACTCTTTTTAATTTACATTAACGATCTTCCAGATATTCTCACATCTAAGGTGGCACTGTTCTCTGATGATACTACCATTTATTCTTGTCACGATAAGAAGCCAACTCCCTCTGATTGATTGCAGGGGCATCTGAGCTTGAAAAGGATCTCACTTCTGCTACATCATGGGGCTCCCAGTGGCTGGTGAACTTTAATTCAGATAAAATTCATTTTTTTTTCAGCCAATCATTATCGCAATAATTTAGACCTTTCTATATTTATGAATAGTAATGTAGTCGATGAGTCATCTACCCTTCATCTTTTGGATTGATTCTTCTGATCTTTCTTGGAAACCGTATATTAAATTTGTTGCAAAATTAGCATCGGCTAAAGTTGCATCTCTTTATGGAGCTCAAGACTTTCTTATTCCGGACTCTATTCTCTATCTATATAAGTTTCAAATCCGACCTTGTATGGAATACTGTAGCCATATCTGGGACGGATCTTCTAATGATGCCCTTTCTTTTTTAGACAACGTGCAAAAAAGCATTGTAAACATAGTTGGACCTGCTCTTGCAGCCAACCTTCAATCATTATCACATAGTTGTTATGTTGCTTCTCTTTTCTACAAATACTATAATGGACACTGCTCTAAAGAGCTAGCGTCTCTTGTGCCATCTCCTAAAATTAATTTTCGTGTTACTCGTCATTCAAATAAGTCTCATCCTTTTACTGTGACTGTTCCTAAGTGCTCCAAAAACTCTTATTTATCTAGTTTTTTTCCTCGAAAATCATTTTTGAAATTTGCATCGTTTATCTTGCTTTCCTGATTCATATAATTTGCAATCTTTTAAGTCGTCTGTCAATCGTTATCTTGCTCTACAATCTTCATCTTTTCTCTTCCAATAACTTCCAACACTAATTATGGTTGCTTGCAGCCTTGTTGGAAGCGATGTTTTAAAAAAAAATTCAAGTTTTTTTTAGTAGAATATAAACGCATTTAATAACAATAAAAATATTTAGATAATAATTTTAGATCTCCAAGTTGTTGAACTCCAAATGTGTAGCTATCATAATATTCAAGAAAGCAATATTTTTTTAAAGTAACTCTCTAAAAACCCTAACAAATTAATAAAATTCAAAAAGTGTTATATAGTGTTACTTTCTAGCATGAATCACTGGCACAAATTACATTAAATACTAAATTGTGTCTCAGAACCCCTATTATACCATAAAGTAATTTTTTTTTTTCCGTTTACCTCAAATACTTTTTTTTCTTCTTAAATACATAATAAATATATTCCAGCATTCTACACCTCTTCTACTCCCCACTTCCTTTATAGTGTTTTGATTTTGGTGCATTCATCTCATCTATTTCTGTGTCAGTATGAAAAACAAAAATTTTTAATTGCATTATATTTGTCATGCGTTTTGTGTGGTTATCTGATAACAGTTATGAAAATTATTCATTAGAATAATTTTCATAACTGTTATCAGATAAAATAGTAGTTTTTAGGAAAAAAATAAGAATAAGAATAAAATAGTAGTTTTTAGGAAAAAAAAATTTTTTGAATAAAATATTGGGATCTAGGTTTAGCATTGAGCACAATATCCTGATCCAAATCCATAGATACAGATCCGCTCAAAATGAATAAAAAATTTTATCCTTGAGAGTTTCAAATTAAAATAATTTTTTTTTTTCTTGTTTAAATTTTTATCTATATTATGATTAACTTCTATATGATTAAATGGAATGGTGAATCAAACATGATTCACCGTTCCTTTTAACCTTAAGAGGTTTCTTGCTATTGTGTTTGATTTTAGTTTCTTAAAATAATTTATTTCATTTAGGATATTCCTGAGATGCCTGAAAGACGAATGACAGATACTATCGGCGAGGTAAAGTTTTTGTCTGATGTTATAGAGCTAATAGTAATCTAAATCTAGATTCTAATAAATTTTTAATTATAACTAAGTGATTATTTTGTTTAGCCTATTCTTTTGACACATTTTCCTGCTGACGTAAAAGCCTTCTATATGCAGAAAGATCCAAAAGATAGAAGAGTCTGTGAAGCGGTATCTTTTTCGCTATTTAATTTGAAATGTTTTTTAATTGATAATTTTGTTAATTCTTTAAGTATATATATTAAATACCTAATATTTTTATAATTTAATTATATTTAAAATATTTATACCTAATATTTTTTATAATTGAATTAAGGTTGATTTGCTTATGCCTGGTGTTGGCGAAGTTCTTGGTGGATCTATGAGAATGGACAGTTATGTAAGTTTTTATAGTTAAGCTTTTAAATTAAACTGTAGTACTTAGTAACTATAGATGTTATAATTTTTTTTTTTTTCAATTTTTATATTATCTTGCTCAATAAAAACAACTTAATTTAAAGGATGAGCTTATGGAAGCTTACCAAAAAAAAGAATTAGATCCTACACCTTATTATTGGTATACTGACCAAAGGAAGTTTGGCACTAGCTCTCACGGTGGTTATGGTCTTGGTTTAGATCGATTTATTACTTGGTTAGCAAATAGAAATCATATTAGGGATGTATGTTTCTATCCAAGATTTATAGGAAGATGTACACCCTAGTGGATAACATTGAAAAAACTGCACATGTATTTATTTAAGTGTTTTGTGTTTTTTTTTCTCGGTTATTTTATAAGAATATGAGTAACTAATTTTAAAACAGTTATTGATGTTCTTGTAACAAAGTTATTGATTTAAAAAAATAACAAAAGTTATTTAAGTAAAAAGATAACAAGATCGAAAGATGTGGTTGTTAAATATTTCAAGTGTTCTTGCAATTAGTCTGAACAAAGATTTTTTTAATTCTTCGTAATAAAAATAAAATAAAGTGATAAAAAGTAATAGTAAAAATAAAAGCGAATAAAAATATGATCAAAGCCCTATTCGTTCAATAAATACTTATTCGTTTAACGAATAAGTACTATTCGTTTACGAATACTATTATTCGTTAAGTGAATATTACTATTCGTTAAACAAAAAATACTCAACAAATAGTACTATTCGCTGTTGGAATTGAAAACTTCGGGAAAATTTCTGATCTATAAATAGTTAGTTTCTTGAAAAACCGTTTTTTAAGATCCATAAATATTTAGTTTTTACGGATCATAAAAATTAAATATAACTTTTTCCAAGACTCTTGTAACTTGCCTGTTTAATATATTTCTGGTATGAAACAATTGTAAATCTAGCTAGATTAACAGCTGTATTAACCTGTATTCGTATTTACCTAGCTGGGTAAAGGAAAACACTAAATCCAATCCTTCAAAGTGCAATTTAAATTTTACTGACCGATGCGATCTCCAATTGAAATATAGTTGTACTTTAAAATATAAGAACTCTGAGATTTTTAATTACAGTCAATAACATTTGTATTTAATATTTTTTATTAATCGTGTTATTATTAATAATATTTTCATATAATATTAATTTGATAACATTTATATCACATTGTAAAGGCCGTAATTTTATATATATATAAAATTTTTATATGTATAAAATATATGTATAGAATTTTTAAAAACTGTCCAAACAGCACTTTGACGGATTGGATTTAACGTTTCCCCTGGGTAAATTACTTTTTTGAGAAGATGAAACTCGAAACATGAAACTTTACAAATAAGAATGTAAAAAGTTAGATGGCAATCGCTGATTTTATATTCTTTTCTAAAAAAAAAAATATAAAAATGTTTTGAAGAAAATTTTTTAATCCATGAATAAGCTTTTTTATCCATTAATAGTCAATAAAAAAAATGTTTTTTTACCAGAATATTTCATCGTGGTTGTTTTTTAGTCAGTGGAGATTCGTAATAAATAGTCTGCAAAATTTTTAATGATAGTAGTTAGGGGTTAAAGAATAAAACAAACTATTGCTTAACTATGGCGTTGAGACTTAATTGCAAAATTACGTTCCAATTAATAATCAATTTGAGCAAATTGAAAAGGCTTGGAATATATTACATTGAAAGCGTAGTAAATAAAGTGAAGTTAATGTTAAAAAATATAGCATCATTATTCTTATCTAAAACCAAAGATAACGGTTGTAAATTAAGTACTGTTTTGAAATGGGAAAAAGAATTTTTGTTAAAGCTAGAGAATGATATCGAATAGTATTATGTTGTTAGGTTAAGCTGCTTGCTTTGCAAGCAATGTGAATCTCATATTAAAAATTTTTCTATTTTGCGGATTTTTCCTGGAACTCAATCAACTAAAAAAAGACTGTAAGTAGCGATTGCAATAGTAAACAACATAAGGAAGCACATCTCATCGACTATCGGAGTATATTGGGTGCTGAAGGTTATAAAAAATATATTAACAAAGTTAGTGACTCGCCTAAGAAGAAATTCAATGCAGCTTACTATGTAGCCGAAAAAGAACGCCCACTTTTTGGTTTCCCAAATTAGCTAGGGCTAATTTAAAAAAACTGTGTTGATCTGGGTAATAATTATTCAATTAATCGAGCTGCTGGTATTTTTACAGATAACATTAGTCAAATTGCTAAAGAGATAATTTTCTAAAGTCGAGATATTCAATTTTATATGAGGGTAGTTGTAACATTGCTACACTGGAACAAAAATCGGTGTATTTATTTGATTGAGGGCAGTCCATGCGTGAAACTTTTATCGGTTGAAACTACTGACAATAAAAATGCCTAAGGTTTCCAAATTTGTCTTGAACAAGCATATACAAGAAGGGGAGTAACTAAAAAACTATTAGGGTTAAACTTAGACGGAGCAAGCGTAAATCTTGGTGTTCACTCAGGTTTAGGAGCTTTACTGAAAAAAAATCTCCTTGGCTTCAAGTAATACATTTTTTCAATCATCGTCTCGAGCTCGCATTAAAAGATGGTTTTGAAAAATTTACTGCATTTACAAAATTTGAATATTTCTTACTAAAGTTACACTGTCTTTCTAAACATTCGCCGAAACGTTTACTCTCGATTCCTTAATGCAGGAGGGGGGGGGGGGGTTAGTCCAGATTTAATATTCGGGTGGGGTGGGGGGGGGGGGGTGTAATAAAAAGAGGGGGTGGGAATTTTTTTACGTTACAATGTAAAAAATTTCAGTTTATAAATCTCTTTAATAATGCTGAACTTAATAGTAGTAGTGCGCTTTCGAGCCACGATACTCTTGGCAACCATTGCGTCCGAGGTAGTGACGAGAAAGAGTCACCTTTGCTTTATAAGAAAACGTGAGCAAACGTGAAACTTATATCGTACGTACCTAGACTTCATGTTATGTAATGTTAAAACATGCTTAAACATATATCAAGTTCTACACTTTGATTTTCACTTAAGAACTGCATTTCGTCAACCTCAGCTTGATTTCTAATCTTTTGCATCTATATCCGTTAAAAACAATTTTTATATAACTTTGAATCTTAATTATTTAATGTGTCAGTATAGTCGAGTGATTAGCGCGCTGGGCTTCGGAACATAGCTGCCGTGGTTCGAGTCCTACCGATAGCGACTACTGTTTTAATTTTTTTTAGATTCTTTTAAATACAAATTCAAATACTTATAATGTTTTATAGATATTGTATATAGACAACATATGTAAAGATATTAATCAAAAGTTTGATCCTCGCATTTTGACGCAGAACCAACTTCGCTAACAAGAGAAAAAAAATCGTTCACAAATTTCAAAATTTTGTTTTTTCGTGAAGTCTTTTAACACTTAGATTCCAACTTTCTTGACATATTCCAAGTCTTTTTGAGAAAAAACTTTGTTGATCAAATATACAAAAACAGAAATTCAGCTTTTTTGTATATGATAAATATTGCTGTGGTACAAAGTGCCAACCTAGGTTTTTTAAACAAAATGCCAATCGAGTTTTACTTCCACGAGGTTTTAATCACCACGAGGCTTAGTTAAATGCTTAGTTAAATACTTAAAAAAAGATAAAATTTAAGGCTTAAAAAAAGAATTTTTTACAAATTTTTTCTTACATCTCTTTAATCCTTGACTTTTGGATTTAGATTTATTACATTGATAGTAACATTATCATATTATTATTTTTAGATTATTACATGATATTTTTGATATTTTGATATTTTTTTTAGAATTTAGATAAAAGCGACAAAAAAAGCGTCTCCCCCCTATCCTTTAGGATTTTAGAGTCACCATTAAATTTTGACATAAGTAGCAAGAAGTGTCTCGCAAATGCCATTTATGTTAAAGTTAGTGTTTACGCAATCAATAAGTTTAATCTTCGTATCTAGGACATTAAAAGTTATCATTTAGATGTTTTCATTTGATTGAGATTTTCTTGCGTTATAAACCGGATAATAGTTCTTATGAACTGTAAGCACGCGGATAAAGTGTGCATCAATATCCTAAAGACCCGTATTTTACGGGTCATGACAGCTAGTGCAAATTAATATTTTTTGCATAACATGCATAAGACTATTTAAATCTAGCGTGGTTTGCGGTCAAACGCGCATTTTTAAAAATCTGTTTTACAATAATTTCAATAGTATTTATTGATGGTTTATCTGAGAGTAGCGATAAAAAAGATTGGGAAAAAACTAAAGAAAAAGTAAATAAACTCTTTGCTGAAAATCTGAGCATCAAAAAAGAAGTCAAAAACGAGTACACAGAGTTGGAGTTTTGAATAATAATCGTAAACGAACAATTGCATCGAAGCTTAAAGATACCAATATTTTTATTAATGAAGATTTATGTAGCACTATTCGAAAAATTTGAATAGAGTTATTTGTTAAGGCGAAAATTCATAGACGAAACGGTTTTTATGCTAAAGTTGTTTATAATAAACTAATTGTCCATGAATTCCGACAAAATAAATGTGCAAGCACAGAAAGTGTAATACCTCGGGATAAATAATTTATTAATAAATTTATAGGTTAATTATCATATACTTACTTAAAAATTCGAATAATATTTTTCAACAAGGTTTTGAAAATATAATTTTTGACCCTTTTAAAGACAATTTAAAAAATATCACAAATATTTTTCAAGAAACTCAAAGGAATTTAATAAAAACACCGTAAATTGATCCTTATGAATTTAAGGAAAAAAAAAAGAAATTCATTTTCTATATTATAAATAAATATTAGGAGCATAAACCAAAACTTTGATAAGTTTTAAATATTATAAATTGACGTTATATCTCTTTCAGAGACCTGGTACGACAATACACTTGATTCTACGAATTGCCTAATTATAAATTAATTAGTCAACCACGAAAAAGTAATAAAAACGGAGGAGGAGTTAGTGTTCATTTAAAATAAAAAAAAACTATGCTCGTCAAATCTTAACTATGAAAGTCTATTTATTGAAATAATAAATGACAAAGATAAAAACATTTTAGTTGGGTGCGTATATCGTCCACCGTATGGAAAAATTAAATTGTTTAAAGAATTCATAAAAAATACAGTCTCAAAAATAAATAAATAAAAAAAAAATTGTATATTGCCGTCGACAAAAATTTGAATGCTCTGACATATAAAAAATATCCAAAAACAAAATCTTTTTTTTGACATGCTTTTTAAATATAATATCTTACTAGTTATCAATAAACCAACTAGGGTAACTAAAAGGTTGGCAACTGCAATCGATAATATCTTTATTAACAGTTATATAGA